ATAAAGGATGAACTGAGTTCAAGGCATATGAGGGTGTTAGCTGGTCAATGCTGAATAACCCGGCCTGGCTTAGGCATGCCCTGTTAATCTGTGTGTGTATGTGCATTTATGTGTTTCATTGATTTGATAGTTGGAGGAACCCAGCCCCATTGAAACGGAGACCTGCAAGATAGCTCCATTGTGGGGTGAGGACTTGCAAAAGGGAGAGAAACAGCTCCATATAGAAACACAAGTAACACAAGCAGCACATTGGGGTGTGTCATTTATTAGGGCTACGTTTCTAGGGTCTCTGTAATTCCTTCAAAGTGATGGGTAAATCTGGTAACAGCCTTGGGAGGAATATAAGGAACCGTAAACTTGTGCAGCAGCTAGGGCCACTTGCAGGTCCCATTGTTTCTGGATCATAGGGACTCAATTCTATGCACTTTTGGGGTTAAAAATTCCTCCAGTGGTTTTGAAGCACGTGTGGAGAGTGCTGGATCATTCGTTCACCCATCCTTCATGCCAGCCCATGGAAATGATCTGATGACCAGGGAAAGGTCATTGCAAAGCTTTTACAACAGATTGAGGGTCCCATGCGCTGGGGAGTTCTAGGCAGAAATATTGTTCTTCTCGTAGCACTCGCTTACTATGGGGAGAGTCAGTGCAAATGTGGCTTCGCTTAAATGACTTGGTTAAGGTGTGCTGAATGCTTATAGCTCACTGGGCATGTCTACACATGCATTAATGTGCCGTAACTATGCTTCTCGGCCTCCATCAACATTTTAGATGGAAGCCCGCCTGGGTTTCATTGCCTTGCCCGTCTCATCCCTCTTCCAGATTTTCTGATCCAGCTTCTCACAACCTGTCTAACCTAGTGGAAGCCCACAGGTGGTCCCCTAGCTTTCCTACTGCCCCTGAGCTGACCTCCCTATCAAAGGGAGGTGCTGTCAAACGTGTCGTCAAACATTTTGAAAAACAAGATTTTTTTATGGGAAGGGATTTCCACTCTTCAATAACTCTCCATTCTTCAATTCCTTTCTAATAACTCTCTATTGACAGCCCTTCACTGCTCATGCAATACGATAGATTCTTTAAAGACTTCTTATATTTTACAGCCAAATATAGTATATGGAAAAGACACCGGGCATGGTTTGCACCCAGAAAAGCCAGGTAATGGGTCAGGGAGGAAAAATATAGAAAGAAGCTGCTGTCACAATCTCACCTTGGCACAGAGAAGAATATCCAGGAAATCCAGACATCTTTTCTTCAGGATCTTACTTAGCACTTGCTCATCTTTGAGGGCCTCCTTCCTTTCGCGGATCACTTTATCTGCATTGCACAAAAGTGAACATCAATGCCATCCAATTCTGCAGGATCACATGAATCTGAATGTGGACCAGGCCTGGAGTTGCTTCCAATTTGTGGAGACAATGAAACCATGTAAATGGTTTCCATAGGCCTTACAGAACGAAAGCAGGGAACTCCCTATTCCAGTAACATGTATTCTGAATTTCAGTTTCTTGTGCTTGGCCAGTTGTCCGGGAGTATGGATAAATGTACATTTTAACTGCTTTAAAAGAGGGGGAGTGCTGAGCAGCTATTGTAATGCAATTGTTATTCTGCATGAACGTGTAGCAATACAAGTGAACCATATTGCCCACCTTTGATTTTGAATAAAGCAGGGTTAAATTCAGAGCAGTGCCATGAGGTAACACTGCACAAACTCTCATTGTAACAACTTGTATTGGTATTTTTTTTATTATTAGGCACCTACTTAATTTGTGATTTCCCAGATTTTTGGAAACTGCGAAATTGGGTAATGTCCATGAAATTGTGAAATAAAAAAAAAAAAAAAATCTTACTAAAAATAAATGCTGGCTCCCCAGTGGGAGCCAGCAGTCCTCAGGGCCACTGCAGCCCAACCCACAGCCTGTTGGCGTGGGGGAGGGGAGGGAATTGTCAGTATGAAGAGGAGGAGCCAACATGGCAGCTGCTTCTTCCTGCCCCTTACCACTGATTGGCTAAGAAGGGTGGGGCTGGCTGACAGGCAGTCCTCTCACTGAATCAGTGATGACAGGTGGGGTTGCATGATGGACAGCCCTCTCTGCCAATTAGTGGCAAGTGGAGGGATTACTGGGGCCCCTCAGCCAATCAGGGACAAGGGGTGGGCTCACTGCAAAAAAGCTGCAAAATCAGCTCTGTGCACCAGAAGTGACCTGTGAAAATCCCTTTCACTCACCGTGACTTAGGTAGATCCCTATTTATTATCGATTAGATGAAGGCACTCTACTTTGAAGTGGATCAGATTAATCTTTCATCAGATGAAGGTGCTCCATACCTTAGGAAACTTCTGTTCCTAGGATTAATTTATGCTGTGATTGGGGCTGGGCTCATGCAGCCCAACCCCGCCCCTGGTGCTGTCTACAGGAAGCGGGGAGTCAACTGTGGGATGGGGTTTCCCCAACCTGAGCTGGAGCAGGGTAAGGTGGATAAAGCTTCCCCATCTCGTGGGACCCCACAATCCCCCACCTCCCAGCTCAGGCTGGGCAAACCCCTCCCTTCTTCCCTCTCCCTTCCTGCACACAGCATTGGAGCGGGGTGGGGAGAGTGGTGATTGTCTGTTGGTTTGGGGGACATGGCTGTAACTCATGGCACTTTATGTGAAGTGCCATGAGTTAGAGAAGGGCCTGCACATCTGTCAGTGCCTGGTGGGTCCATAAAGACTGTTTCAGCTGTATAGGCCTGTGCCTTCAGCCTGGCACACATCCTGAACTGGAGCTGGAAAGAGGATACTGGGAAGTACCTGTGTGGTCATGGGTTAATGTGCAAGCCTTGCGAAAATGACGTCCTTGAGCACTGAGCCAGTAAAGTGTTGCGTTGTGGTGCAGTGGTATGCGGAACCTCTGGTATATCGAGGTGCTGATGTCCAGGATTGATCGGATGTATGAACTGCCACTGCAGAGTCAAAAAGCAGTTGGACAAGCATTCAATATGTTTGCAGCAGGATCAAAATACATTTTAAAAAGGTAGCAGTAAGGGTGACTGCAGTGTATTGCCAGAAGAGAAGGAACAAATGCAGCCCACCTTGCAGCAATGAGAGCGGGCTTTTCTACAGGATGCCTTGTTGAAGCATTTAGGTTCCAGGTGAGTGCAACAAAACAATATTCCAAGGAAATGCTGCAATGGTTTCAAGTATAATGCCATCTTTTCCAGTCCCCTGCTCAGAGTTTGAGACGTGCAGAGCATGTGTCTAGTCCTTTGGGAGCTAAGTACAGTTCCTGAGAGTATTTTTTCTAAAGAAAACCTGGCTTTCTTCTGGAAAAAAATCCCCTATTCATCAAGTCTGAAACCAAAACGGCGAGGTGCAGAAAGGTTTTGATTGCAGTGTGTGAGACCTTTATGATAAACCCTATATAGCAGTGTTGATGAATTTGTAAATTATAAAGAGCTGTACCTCTTCATAGCTCTAAAATAGCAAATACCTATGTAGATATGCAATTTGCAAATACCTATGCAAATGCCTAAATATGTAGAAGAGAGGCAGACAAGGTTCCTTGGGTGAATTTGATATCTTTTATTAGACCAACCTAAATGGTTGGAGAATAGTTATTAAGCAAGCTTTCAAGTTCAAAAACCCTTTGTCAGGCTAAGGATGTTTCAGCAGTTGGTTTAGGTTGGTCTAATAAAAGATATCAAATTCACCCAAGGAATCTTGTCTGCCTATGTCCTTAGACCAACACGGCTACAACCCACACCCCTGTAAATATGTAGAACACATTTGGCTAAATATAAACCAACTCCTCTTGAGCTGTGGTGAAATCATCTTTTGCAAATAAACTGCAGAGATTGCAGTTCCTTCACAGTCTCTAATAACACTTAACTTTCTCAGGCACCCACACATTAGGGACAGGAGGATCCAAATTTGATTGTATACACAGTAACCCTCAGGATTTGGCCACCTGTGCACTGATGCAAACATTTTTATGATTCCCAGCTCAGACCTAGTCAAACTGTGTTAAACTGAAACTTATTTGGAACCACTGAAAATATTTAATCAGTATTTGAAACCCCCCAGTCCTGACCTGTCCATCTGGCAGTTGCTCTCGTAACTGAAGGCACATTTCAAGATGGTGTCTAGCGTCATCAGACTGATGGAGTGGAAGATCTCCATTGACATCTTTGGTGTGGCCTGCTGTTCCCATTTGTCCTAGTATAGAAAAAAGAGTGGGATGAGAGAGATTTTCTGGGGAGCACAGAAATCCTGGGGGCTGCCTTTAAATCAGGCCTGATTCAGTTCTTGTTAAAGAAAATGGACTTTCTTGAGGCTGAATGAGGCTATGAAACAATTTAACTAGTAGACAAAATGTTAGCAATTCAGAAGGGAGCACAACAGGACAAAGTCATAACGGAATCAAGAGCAATTCTTCATGGCATTAAAAGGACACACTTTGCCCTCAGGGTCAATAGCTTCAAAATCAAAACTTCATAGAGAAACGCTTATGGTGGCAGGCTCCAAAGCTGGAACCAGTTGAGTCCATCTAAAGCCTTCAGTTGACTCTCCTCATAAAGAGGGTCCCAAACTAATGAATTTGCTCACTTCTTAGTAAACAGTGGCTCACTTCAGGGGGCATCGGTTTAGTAAATCCATGATAAAAATGGACATATGCTCATTGTGGATCCTAAACAAAGGAGAGTGGAGGTAACATCATTTCCCTAATATTTCAGAATGATCTCAAAGCATATAAGTGAGGAGAAAACAGCAGGATGCTTGAAGTCATGGCTGAACCAACAGCAATTCCTACCAGCATCACTCGGACAGAGTCTACCATTAGGTTCACATACGGCTTCAAAATATTGTAGTGAAAGCCTGGTGTTAGCAACTTCTGATGGTGAAACCACTTTGGCCCATCTAAAATCAGCAATCCTTTACCTAGGGAGGATTTACATGATAAAGAAAGTTGATTGGATCACTGCCTAGTAAACCGGAGATTTATTCAAAGTGATCTTCCTGACACTAAATCCATAACATTAATAGCCATAAGTTCACATTTTTGGGGGGTAGAGGGTCAAGATAAGGTTATGGGCAGATGTTGTATTTGTCATCTTTTTGCTGTGGAATGAATGTTTTTATCCTGTGGCAAAATGAGACTGCACACATATACATAGCTGGAAAAATGTCACAAAGGTGGCTGAAAGTATAGTGGGACTAAAATAGGATTATTTTGTTCCAGAACAACTCAAAGGATGTCTTCACATTGGTCACACTACAGCATCCTAAAACAAATGGGCTGGATAGTCCTGCAGGAATCCCACAGTGCCACCAAGAGTTTTCTGTAGCTGGTGACCTCAGTAAAAGTTCTTGATTTCACGTAGAGCTTCTTGCAAAGCCAATATTGTGTCCTGTGATTAATGTAAAAAAAAAAAAAAAAGAATTTACTTGTAATAGTGCTGCCGTTTCAGGTTTTCTTACTGGAAGCTTTGAAAGAAAAACAATCATCTTGAATTGCTGTTTTGAAACAAAAATCTTCGTTTCATCTTCATTTCATTTAGACTTAATTTTAAGTCAAAACAAAATGGAATTGTGTCTGTTGCTTCAACTAGTGTAGTATTTTAATTTAGAAATTTCCCACAGGACTTGGATAATGTGTCAGGACAGAGATTTTTCCACACACCCACAAAAAAATTAGTTTCCACACATTTCTTTTTGACATGAGAAAATCTGAAAATAGTGGCCAGACAAGGATGTTCACAACTGCACTCTGATGTGACATAGGTTTGTAGTATTCCTGTTTTGTCAAAGAAAGCGGTGGTTAAATTACACTTGGAAACACGTTCAGAAATCTTTGATATATCCCATTAGGATTAGACAAAGTAAGGAATGGGGCATCAGCTGCCTGATTCAACCTGAATTATGACCACCTCACTTTCCTACACTTCATTCACAGCTAAGAGAACTTTTTTTTTTTTTTGTGGTGATTTAATTATATCACTGCGGGTGCATCTACACATGTGCTTTACTGTGGAGTAGACTAATGAGCTCCACAGTAAAGCATCACAGTCTAGTAAACTAATTAATTCCACTGTAGGATGGCACTGTTGGGAGCAGTACTTATGGCAGAGCACTTTACTGTGCTGAAACGCATGTGTAGATGATGATTGTGGGCATACATTGCACCTGGTCAGCCCAGCCAGTTGAGGGCCTACTTTGCCCCAGCTCAAATTGCTTCTGTCCCAGCACACGTCTAGAGGCTGTGACTAGGAGCAGTTGACTCCAGTTAGGCTCTAGGGAAGATCCATTTCATTGCATTCATTGCACATGTAGATGCATCCAATGTGCTTATGCAGAACAAAAAACATGAGAAATTTCTTTTAAGAGTCTTTAGCAATACTGCTGCACAAGATAAAGGAGAATGAGACAAGGCAGTACATACCAATCCATGGAATTAGGAAAGAGTAAGGCAGGTGAGACTTAGGATCTGTGGGATTCAACAGAGAAGAGAAATATATTAGCATGGTGAAATGTTCAGAAGGTGAATACAGCACTAGTTATGGTGAGGAAGGCCATCAACATCTGCCCCTGCCTTAGTCAACCATAGTTAAACACACAGTTTGGGGACAAGTCAGTGTCTTGTTGAGAGTAAACTCTATATGAGTTGAGACAAGCTCTGGTTTTCAAGAAAAATGTTACCCATTACATTAGGGTTCTACTTACAAATAGTTCATAAAGAATTAATAAACGTTTGACAGATGTTGCAGCTTGCTACAAATGCAAGACATCTTTTAGACATGCATATAATTGCATCAAAAGGGTTTCTGTGCACTTTTCCAATACTGGAGGCTATGAGGTATAACCAGATAAAATTGTTTTAATTTTCCTTTTCGTGTAAACACAAATTAAGCAGAGATGTTTTCACTGAGGCTGAACTGCCCTGCTTATGCTTGCTCCAATTAGATCTTTTCCTTTAATAACAGCCTCAGGAGCAACAGCCTCAGACGCATCTTATTTCCATTATTTCTATAATATTATGCAGAGCTGTTTTTTAAAAAAATCCTGTTTAATTCAGGATATGTTTTCATTGCCTAGCAAAGTCGAGTTATGGCTGAACATTGGCTTTAACTTGACTCCTGTTTATAAATGAGAGCCTGTTGGGAGTCTTTCAGCTTGACCCTCCAGGGGTATACACTACAGTTCAAGTGAGCACATCTTGCTTGTGTAGATCAGAGCTGTCCAACTGGTGGCCCCTGGGTTTCTACCCATCCTCTGTTCCCTCTAGAGCGCCAGCTGGTGCTACAGTGGGGGTGTCTAGGTTCGCCCTTGCTTCCTCAGCTTTACTTTTTATGGGGAGGCAGTGGGCTACAGTGCAGCATCAGTACAGTGAGGGAGCCAAGATGAGCATGTGTGTCTTGTGCTAGTACACTCCCCAGGGTGTACATCTTCCATCGATGTGACCTAGGCAGCATGTGCTTCACAGCTGCTTAGAAGCTGGACATCCCTGGTATAGATCAAGTCTTATATTGCAGTGTGGTCATTCTCCCTCAAGGTAGGCTATCTTGAAAGAGGTAAGTTAACTTGAGTGTTGATAGCTCAAGCTAACTCAAATGTGAAAACAAGATTTTCATTGAGAGATAAGTGGTTGTCCAGTTACGTGCACCAAGCCAGCTTATCTGCACCAGGTAGAGACATTACACTTTTACCAGTATAGGTGATCAGAAACTAGTCTCTAACCATAACAGAACAGACATTCAGCACACACAGACTGGTTTAAAATGGTGGAACCCAGTCTAAAATTTGCCGTTCCTCCCACCAAAGGGTGAACGTGTATTCTGTTCTCTACCGACCTAAACTGCACCACTTACAGAAAGCCATGTAACTTTTTGAATGTCCGTACCTGGCTCTGGTGGGTGGAGACTATACATTGAAATGCATTTTAATGTACATCTTCAGACCAGCCATATTATTCCACCCCCAAAATTGCAGACAAAAATAAGAGTATGCCAGTACGTTAGGAGCCAGACCCTAACCACGCATATGTAAGTTGAACCAAGTTGACTATGCAGTGATTGCTATTCAAAGGGAGAATGAGGAATTTCTCGGTGAGTTTATTTAAACCAGTTTAATAAGTAATTTTGCTTTACTTCCTCAGTACTGATGTGTTTCTGCAGTAATTTCCCTTCTAGAACACGAAAACTGGGAGATTTTCAATCTACCTTAAAGAAAAAATAAACATGTATAAGAACCACCATTTAATAAATGTTTGCGCTTGGTGTTATCACCTTTTCATGGCATTTCTAATATTAAAAAATTCTTATGCATCTTATGCACAATCAGATGTCGGATACCATGTTCTTACCTCCTCTGCTGAGTAGAACCTTAGCATAGTCAGGATGGTGGATGTTCAATAATGCGAAGAAGGGTCCAAACCATAGAGGGATACAATGTAGATATTTCCCTGTCCAGGATGCCATGTTGTTTAGTTCTTCCTCTGGCTTTAGCTGCATTGTTAGTTAAGAGTGGAGATAATCAAGACAAAGATTTAGAGTTGCAGAAAATTTGGGCTGGAAGTACCTTGGGGTATTAGTGGATCACAGACTCAACACAAGTCAACAATATGATTCAGCTGCACCAATAAGAGTAGTAGGTACAAGATACAGATGCTGATCATATTCCCCAGATGAGGTCTAATCATCATGCAGTAGAATGGCACTGTTTGCAGCTGGGCTCTGGTTTCCTTATTTTAAAAAAGATGTAGAGAAAATGGGATCCACTGGTGGGTGACAATCATGGTATACAGGTAGGAAATCAAGCTGTGCAAGGCACAATTTAGAGAACTAAACATGTTTATCCTGCAGAAAAGGTAATTAAGGAAGGGTGTGATAGTAGTCTTCAACTATTTGCCAGGGAGAGAAGGGAAGACAACTATTCTCCCTTATGGGCTTCAAGATGGAGCAAAGTAGGTTAGATTGGACATCAGGAAGCATGACTTCACTGTTACAATGGCAAGGCAGTGGAATAGACTCTCTATGGAAATTACAGAATTTTTTTCTTTGGAGGCTTTCAAGAGGAGGTTAGATAAGCATTGTTCAGAGATGGTTTAGGAGTAGCAATGCAGGGAGCATGCTGTGGAGAGTGACAGTTCAAAACCAAGGAGATTCTTCCCCCATACACACATACACGTACCCCAGAGATTTCCAAGAGCACCAGTCGGAGACTATGAGAAGAGCTCTGTAGCCCAGAACAGGTGTAAATTAGAGAGGAGTATGCCCAATCTCAGGAGCTCTAATTTGCCTTAGGTTGCCCTTAATTCTGCCTCCCATTACATGCCTCCATCCATCTCTAGCAAACACCTGGTCCTGTCTGCTCTGGGCTTTGCCCCTCCAGTTGGAGATCTCCTTCCTGCCCCTCCTACCTTCTATTCACATGAGCCAGATCCTCTGTTGAAATGTATAACATAACTCCACAGAAGCGAATGGAACAGCAGGCATGGGGAGCTGGCTTTTGGAGCTGAGATGCTAGGGTGCGACTTAAATCTAGCTTTGCCTTGCATGCATGTGAGAACTGGGAACCAGGTAAAAGGTTTGTCCACTCACAAATTCACTGCTCTGGTTAAGGCCTACAAGGACTGGGATCTGGCATTTAGCCACAAAGGTGGCGTCTGCTGGTGACATAGGCCTTGACCTAACCAACACCATTTTGAGTCTTTGATATGCCTGATGCCATTAGTTGGATGTGTGGGGCAAGCACATAGGAGCTTGGGGTTGATTTACTTAGATGGCCTACGTTAACAATAAGAATGATCTACTTAGCAGTGAGAAAGCTGAAAGACAGAATGGGGGTAACAAAGTAATAGGGGAATAGCCACTGTGAAGAGGTGATTGGTGGGAAACTGTGCCACAACCATATGTGGAAGCTTGTCAATCATATAGGAAAAAACATTTAAATAACTGATAGATAGCCAAAAAAGAAGCTTAACACTTGGAAAGCTAGAGAAGCAAATAACACCCAGCTACTGAGATTGCAGTTGCCAGTGCTGTGACAATGTCTCGGCATCTGAGTCATTGCGCATCATTTGGAAGGCCTATGTAAAGATACCTTTATAGACCATTTCAAGTTTTGGTATTTCTTAAGTCTTGAATAAATTGATTAGTCTCACCGATCAATTTATTCCATCCACACCACCCTTTAATCAGGAGTCGACAAGAGCCCCTTCCATGTGGTGATCCCTGGTAACATCTCTGATAGCCAAGAGCTCCTGAATTGACAAAAATGCCAAAGTACCCAAAGATGAAGATATGGACACCGTTTTTGTCATACTAAAGAAGAACCCTTTAATCAAAGTTTAATATAATAATGTGGACTCTGGATATGACATAATCATGCACACCAACCTATGCCACCAAAAATAGGACATGCTTCCCATTTCCAAAGAGGTTGCTGAGTATCTTTTTGACAGCAGACAGGGTTGCATGCTAGGCTGGAGGGAAAGGAGCCATCTCTGCAAAAGCAGAGAGCTTCATTTAAAAAGAGCTGCTTCCGGTAAGAGCTTGAAGCAGTATCTTTACTTTCAGTATCTTCTCCGAAGTGGCTGACCTGCACTCATCAGCCTGTGACCATCGCTTACAAAGCCAAGAGCTTTCTTTCTTTGCCAAAACTTCCTCCAGTAACAAACATGGTAGCAGCTAACTTCCTTCATGCAAGGGCTTGCTCCCACCTATACTGCTTTGGAAAGCCAAGTCTGTGTTTTTGTAGCCCGGGTTGTGCATGGATGGGTGTAGCAGTTGAATAGATCTTGGGCATCTCTAACTTTGAAGCTATGAAAATAGTAATGGGGAGATATTCATAGATCCATAGATGTTAGGGTCATAGATTCATATTCATAGATTCATAGATGTTAGGGTCGGAAGGGACCTCAATAGATCATCAAGTCCGACCCCCTGCATAGGCAGGAAAGAGCCATTATTTCTTGTAACCCCCGGGGGCGCCTTGGTGAGTAGAGCCTCACCAATTCCCTTCTGCACCCCCATGATGAATTTATAAGCAGTCACAAGGTCACCTCTCAACCTTCTCTTGCGGAGGCTGAAGAGGTCCAGCTGCCCTAGTCTCTCCTCATAGGGCTTGGCCTACAAGCCCTTAACCATACGAGTGGAGCCTCTCCAGGTTATCCACATCCCTCTTGAAGAACAGCACCCAAAACTGCACGCAGTACTCCAACTGCGGTCTGACCAGCGCCCGATAGAGGGGAAGTATCACCTCCTTGGATCTGTTTGTCATGCATCTGCTGATGCACGATAAAGTGCAGTTAGCTTTGCTGATGATTTCATCACACTGCCGACTCATGTTCATCTTCGAGTCCACTAGGACTCCAAGATCCCTTTCCACTTCTGTGCTGCCGAGCAGGCCATTCCCTAGGCAGTAGGTGTGCTGGACATTTTTCCTCCCCAGGTGCGGCACTTTGCATTTCTCCTTGTTGAACTGCATTCTGTTGTTTTCTGCCCACTTGTCCAACCTGTCCAGGTCTGCCTGTAGTTGTTCCCTGCCTCCGGCGTGTCCACTTCTCCCCACAGTTTTGTATCATCTGCAAACTTGGACAGAGTACACTTCACTCCCTCGTCCAAGTAGCTGATGAAGACATTGAAGAGTATCGGTCCAAGGACTAAGCCCTGCAGGACCCCACTGTCCATGTCCTTCCAGGTCAATGCTGACCCATCCACCACCACTCTCTGGGTGCGACCCTCTAGCCAATTCACCAACCATCGGACTGTGTAATCACTCAAGTCACAGCCTCTTAACTTGTTCACCACTATGAGGTGGGATACCGTATTGAAGGCCTTCCTGAAGTCTAAGTAGATGATGTCTACCCCTACTCCTGCATCCAGGTGCTTTGTAACCTGGTTGTAAAAAGAAACTAGGTTAGTCAGGCATAATCTACGTGCTACAAACCCATACTGGTTTCCCATCAGCATAATTTTTCCTGCTGGGCTCTCACATACATGAGCCTTAATAATCTTTTCAAAGACTTTGCCAAGGATGGAGGTGAGACTGACTGGCCTGTAGTTGCCTGGATCCTCCTTCCTCCCCTTCTTGAAAATAAGGACCACAATGGCCCTTTTCCAGTCCTCCGGGACCTGGCCCATGCACCACGAGCGTTCAAATATTCTTGCCAGTAGCTGTGCAATGACTTCATCCAGTGCCTTCAGTACCCTTGGATTGAACTCATCCGGGCCCGCCAACTTAAACACATCCAGTCCTTCCAAGTGACTCTGCAACATCTCAGGGTCAATGCTTGGTAGTCTGGCGCCCTACTGTTGCCTCTCTACAATCCCAGTGAGAGACTTGTCATGCCCCTCGTTTAGGAACACTGAGGCAAAGAACTCATTGAGGAGTTCAGCCTTGTTCCCCCTGTCCGTCACCAATTACTTTTACCCATTCAGTAGTGGTCCTCTTCCACCCTGGGCCTTCCTTTTGCTCCCTATATATCTGAAAAACATTTTTTTGTTATCCTTAACTTGGGATGCCATCCTCAACTCCATGGTAGCTTTGGCCTTTCTAACTGTGCAGCAAGCTTCCAGTTTTGTGGCTGAGTAGTTGGCAAGGTCTTTGGATTGGATATTTGTGGTTTACATAGTTCAGACCTGTGCTACCTTGGTTCATGGCATTTCTGAATGATGAAAGGGAACATGACACGTAGATTGTAAAAAAGAAAAGAAAAATAAGGCAATAAAATAAAAAATAAAGTAGTTAATTAAATCTTGGCCCCATGGAATTAAAAAAAAAAAAAAAAAGGATATATTGTTACAAATATATGACTGAGTGGGGCAGAGCTTCCCAGTCCCTCTCCCATTTTGGGAAAGTAGGAATACCAAGGTGAAGAAGAAAGCTTTGAAGTTCAATGGCTTAGCACCACAATTTTTATTTTCCTCTAGGCAGTTAAATCATATTAAAGTAAGGTTGGGGAGACAGATGCTCCCCAAATGGAGACAGGTACTAGGTAGTAGCTAAACCCACCTGAAAATGTGGGAAATTAGGTACAAAAGTTGGATCCCTAAAATACAAGGAGAACGTTTAGGCAACAGAGAGAATTACTTAGCTAATTGGTTTGGATTTCGTTATGGCTAATAATAGCTGTGAAATTAAACCAGAGCTTTAAAGGGATTTTCCAGAGATGAAAGTGTGGGGCACCTTTCCTGGAATTTAAGAGCACTAATGATGTCTAGGGGTTGATTTGCAGCAATGCAGACATTCTGCGTCCCAGGGCAGAAACTGTTATGCTGGCCACACCTGTTGGGAGCTTTCCAGCAAGGGTTTATTGTGCATCTCACATCATTGAACTATTGTCCGGTCCTTTTTCCCTGAATGTTTCTGTCAAGGCATCAGTAGTAAAGAGACAGGGCAGAGTAGCAGAGCGAGCAACTTGTGGGGCAGATGAACGTGACAAGGTGGAAGGGGTGAAGATGACCTCCCTGCATAAACCGTACGGTTGGGAACCAGTAGTTGTGTTAATCCAGCTCAGATATCAGCTGTGCTACTCTTGCCTGGCATGAGATTCAATGGGTTGATTTTGCCCCGTGTGAATAGATGGCTGCTGTTTACTGTTGAAGGAATGAGAAGAGCCCTTACGTAGCATCAAGAAAGAGACTGAGCTTTCAATAAGAGGGCGCTTAAGAAAGAGAGCTGGACCAGGGTCAGTATAGACTATGGAAAACTCGGTGAAGCCACTTGAAGGGATTCTCATTTGTAACCTTGGTTTGTGGAGACTTTTGGATGTTATAAGAGAGGGGTGCTCAACCACTGGCCCACGGGCCATATATAGGGAGAGCCTCACAGTCTGTGGCTTTGTACACGAGGTTGGGTGCATAGGGTGGTGTGGGGCCTGATCCCAGCACACAGGGGTGGCATGGGGGCTTCAGGACCCAATCCTGGCACATGGGGTCTGATCCAGTCTGTGGATCAGCTCCACGCTCTTCTTCTGGCTATAGGAGGTTCAGTCTGGCTTTTTATGGGCAGGTATTAGCATATGGAAGAGAACGATAATAAAAGGACTGGTTGCACGTCAAGCCAAGCCAAGCTAAAGGCCAGCTCCTGCAAGGCATAAGAGAGCTGCCGCAAGATGCCTTTTGGACTGGGGCTAGAAATCAAGGCACAGGAGCAAGGGCAGGGGGTGAAACCATCTGAAACCCAGGCACATTGGAGGAATCTGCAGGATCTGAGGAGGCAGGTATAATTTAGCACAGCTGAGCTGTTCTGTAAACTTTGAATTGAAATTGTCTTTCAATATTGAGGGATGCATCAGTTATGCTGACTAGTGACTTTTCCTAATGTTCCTACCATGCTAGAGAGTCACTTCCCAAATACATCCCTTCCTGTCTCCTAGGAGCTAGAATTATCTTATGTCTTCCAGAAATCAGTGATCCCTGAGGTATGTAGGACAAGCAGTTGCTGAAATATATGGTGATCAATGCTAGGAGACTTTTGAAAATGTACAGGACTGCTCTCGCTGTTCAGAGCCGCGTGATAGCATCTCAAAAACAGGCAAAATAGTCTCTGCAGTTGTAGCTTTGTAAACCCATTTTGGCATGGCATTTTCTTGATGGTTTATAATAGAGCAGTGTGTGTTTATAGCCTGGCACCTCTCCTAACAGCTGTGCCATGAATGACAACTGACTTATGTTCCTGGTTGGTGAAGGAGTTGGACTAGATGTGACCTCCTGAGGTCTCTTCCCACCCTCATTTTCTATCATTGTGCATAGACAGAGGCATACAGAAAAAAGAAACAAGTCCATGCACATCCCTTGCTCTGCCTGTTGACCACAGCTGTGAAAGCAAAATTTGATCTACGGTTGCACACACGCTTACAGACAAAGAACAAGGAGTAGCTTACCAATTTAAGGTGGCTGTACAGCCAGTGGGTTGGAGGGCCAGGGAAGTTTTTTAAGACCTTCAGTAGCTCCTGTCTTTTCCGGTACAGCTCGACTGCTTTCATGAGACCATAGGTCAGGAACAACACTGCAGCCACAACGAAAATCTTGACGACATCTCTGGACAGCCAGGACCAAGAGCCAACCATGGCTGTCTCCGGAAAAGATCTCATGCTGCCACTGTCAGGGACTAGCACTGAATAAACAAGCTCCACCCCTCTTAAGATCTCTTGAACTCTCTTGGTGCCTTCATATAAGATCTGGCACGCTCTCATTTCTCCTGCTTGAGAATAGGGACTTGAGCCTTGGTACTTTTCCAAGTGAGATTTTGGAATTGCTGAAAGAAAGCAGTCAAAGAGCAAGCGCGCGTTGAAAGAATCGCCCTAGTAGCCAATGCTCAACTGGTGGGACTCCTACCTCTGTCAGATGCTGCTTCCAAACCGGAGGCATAGTTGTATAACCTACAAATCTTGACCTAGATACGCAGGCAAGGGGGTCTCTGCCTCAAGAGGGAAACGGATCTTCAACAATGGAAGAAAATGCTGCCCCCACCTATGTTTAGATTGCTCTCCATGGCACATCAAAGCCGGTAGACTAGATCATGTGATAAAGCAGTGCTGGTCCCCACCTCCTATGAATCTGAGCATAAGCTCCTTGTTTCCAGTCTGCAGCCAGCTGGATCTCAGCCTGCCAAGTCCTGCCTTTAGCAACAATTTCCTGTGCAGATTCTGTGAAAGCTCCAGTTCATTTTTCCCCCCTAAGGGACTTTGTTAAACTATTTGAATATGTGATTGCATGACATGGTCAGGACTTGCTCTCTCTTGCTATTTCTGCTTTACAGGATCATAAAGAAGTTGGGCTGGAAGGGAACTCCAGAGGTCATCCAGTCCAACCCCCTAGATCCTGCAGTAGGATCGTCCTTATCCAAACCATCCCATACAAATCCATAATCTAACCTCTTCATAAAACTACCATCAACCTTGACACAACACAAGACATAACACCTGAACCTGCCACAGGGACAGCAGGGGGACCATGGCAGTCAACATCCTGCTTCTGTAAAAGGTTGCTAAATATGCACTTGAGAGATCCCAGGTAGAGGGTCAGATGCCAACTACAGAGGAAGGCAAAAAATCCCCACCCTCCATACCAATCTGAGCAGGGGGTAAAACTCATTCCTGACCTCAAATATGGTGATTGGTCTGATCTGACCCTTCATAATCTGAAGTGCATTTCATTCCTCCCTTGGAAGCATGGCAGTGAACGGATCTGACAACACATTACTGAATCCTTAGACGTGTTGGGGTGAGGAAAGCAGGAGGTTTTGGCTGGTGGGTAGCAAGTAGTTTGGGTTTTTACTACCTAGAAAGGGTTGATAAAGAATTTGAAGACCAGGTGAAATCAGCAGGTACAACTGATACTTCAAGAAAGGTAGAAGATTTGCTAAATAGCTAATCCCTTGAGCAACTCCATTCAGATCTGCTGTATGCATCAAGTTGCAAATTTGGACCACCCTAGCATTTTAAGGCCACCAATGGACTAGTATGTCACCTGTATGTATCTCTATATAATGTGTGTATCACAGTGAAATCTTGGTTTTCTCTCTTGATGCAAGGTGCTGGTGGGTTTCCCATTGGAATTAATTCTAAGGGACAAAACTGATTTCTCACCGTGATACCACTGCTTGCTGAGTGTTAGAGATGTGGGTTTGCTTGACAGTGACTTAAGCTTTGTTTAGGTTGGCGGGTCACACCACTCTGACTGTACTGAAGGGGTTAAATGGGCAGAGCTGCTCCTCGTTTCAGTGCCGTGGTAATTATAAGAGGAGCTGTGTTACAGGGATGGCTTACCAGGCCATTCCCCAAACTTCCTGCTTTATAGGGAGTTGGGACCAGCATGTGGAATATGGACCCAGAAGTGTGGCATGACAGTGCTGTTGTTGGTCCCGGAGAAATAATAACACCATCATCATCATCCGATAATGTAATATTGCTATGCCAAGTGAAATCCTGTCTAGTGCCTGAAATGAGTGAGCCAGATGCATTTCATCCTGAAATGAGACCACCACTGTGGTTTCTGAGTCGGCCAATCTACAATCCCGGTGGTATGTGCTCTGTGGGACGTAACGGGAAAGAGACCCCTATGACAACCAAAAGATAACACTGCATGCAAAGACTTTACACATCACCAGTTCCATTCCTCTTCTTGGTGACTTAGTGTGCTAAGTCACCATGTTACCATGGTACAAGTGTGTTAGCTTTTAATGCAACCGGTAACGCTATGTTTCAGAAAGTCAGCTGCCTGCCGGGGATCTATTTTCTTAACAACATTACTCAATGTTCCAGTCAACTATCTGATGACAAGCCTGACTGAGGCCAAAGTAGGAGGAGCAGAGTTTAAAAAATCTTCAGTGGAGGATCTTGAATTATGTTGCCTTGCTTGGAGGAACTGTCAGGCAGCCTGAATTGAAGCTGAAAAAAATATGCAAAAAATTGTAGACCATTGGGGGGCTTCAGAACTAGGGTGCTCAAATCTAATTCATGCATGTCTGCTGTAAAACAGAAGTAATAACTTTGATGATGGAGCATGTAAATGTTAGTGATGTTGAACTGGTTAATGGGTTATCTGTCTGGGGAGCTGATGACTAGCAGAAGGCTCTTGAGCAGGGGGTTGGACTAGATGTGACCTCTTGAGGTCCCTTCCAACCCTCACTTTCTATGATTCTATAAGGCAAAGAAGTAAATGTTGGATCAGCCTTGAAAAAGCAGCTTCTTCACATCACCAAGCTAGTGACAATGTCAGCGTGAAATCTGAGGTTCGAGTGTTCGTTGTGGCGTGGATGGAAACCTGACTGTGGAGAGCATCTGACATGAAGATCTTAGTCAACTTTAATGTCAAAAGTTATAGTGCATCCCTCAGACCTGCTAGTCTTTGTCACGAACGAGGAGCAGGTTGTGGTCTCATGCCAATTATGACCAAACGGATTGCAATAGTGGGGCCATCTCCAAATGGGGCACACTCTTACAAAAACCTCTACAGAGCTGTGGGCCAGGAAAGCATGGCAGAAATTGGCAGCGACTGAGGTTTCAGAAACCTTAGCTATCTTACTTTGACAGCGCAGGTCAACTTGCAAGGGACTGCTTGAGAGGGAAATCCAGGTCAGGTGGACCTCATGAGCTTCATCCAAGAGTCTTCCAGGATTGGCTGAAGTAATTGCATAGCCATTAGTTTGTATAATATTACAGACCACACTACTTCAAACCTTTAAACATGATATATTAAATGTGATGACAAAATGAAAAGTCAAACTATATTAAAGCTTTATCAGGCAAATTGTTTTAACATTATTGGCATGGAAGTGTGATTATTCTTTGCAACAGAACAAAACAAAAACACGTTTTGCTTCAACTTCCATTTAATGTCAAACCGGAACAAATGATTTAAGATTTTTTTACAGTACGATTCCAAAATTGTTTTTATTTTCATGGAAAATGGAATTGCACACAAAATCAAGATCCCAGTTCCCATACAGCAGTATTTATGCCAACAGTATTCAGAAGTTACAGAAATTGCCAGAACAAGAGTGGGACATTGATCAGTGAAAGTTCTTCATGTACAGATCAGTCCTGTTCTTGGACCATAGGATGAGCAGAGCATCTTGAGGTGAATGTGGCCAGATGAAGTGAGAGTTTCAAGTGGGGCAGGGTTGGGGCAAGAGTCACTTCCCTCTCATTCATGACGAACTGCTGCCAGATGCAGTTCCTGAGCAGAAAGAAGGAAAAATTAGTTCTTTGAGGACAAACTTATCTTTGTCATTCCCCATTTTTTTAAGCCTTCCTCAGAGGTGTTAGATGTTGGCTGCCACCAAGGTTGGGATTTTGACTGGGGTGTAGCAATGTTCCTGTTGAGATTTAAACCTGCAGGTTCCTGGCTTAGAGGGTCTTGCCCCTCTGCTCAGGATCAGACTGACTCCAGATTTACCCTTTTGTCATATTGATATGGACTATGGGGATTTTTGCCTTCCTTTGTAGTGGAGGGCATGGTCTTCTTTTGAGCATATATTAACAACATTTCTAGAAGCAAGACTTTGGCTTCTGTGGTCCTCCTGCTTTACCTGTGGCAGGTTGGGGTGTGATGTCTGGTGTTGTGTCCAGGTTGACTGTAGTTTTTGCTAAGAAGTTAGACAATGGATTTGAAGAGGGTGGTTTAGATAGGGATGATCCTGTCTCATGATCTAGGGGCGGGTGGACCAGATGACCTCTAGGTGTCCTTTCCAGCCTGACTTCTCTATGATTGTATGCAAAGCAGGGCACAAGAGAGGGTCATGCAAGGAGATGCCATTGCTATGGGATGTAGAGTGAGCCCACCCAACCAGTGGATAGAGTGAGCTGGAAAGTGAGGATTTGTTCCAATGAGAAATGGTGTGTATTTGTGCATTTCAATGCTTTGCATCCTAAATGAGGTGGGAATGGGACAGCTCAGGGCACTGGGAAGCCAGCCATGCTTATGGAGTAGCTCATGGAGCAGGGGAGCTGGGAAGCTCTGAAGAGCTCCAAACCTTAGTCTCCGCTGTTGCTAAGGCAGCTTTTCCTGTGGCAATGCCTGTTGCAAAAGGGCCTATTGTGTTATTGTGCCTTCAGCATGAAAAATATCCTTTGGCTGATGGCTGTCTCCACTTACACCACAGAGTCTGTCTCTGCCAATGTAAACTGACCCAGTTTGACCAATCTGGAGGCTGATTTTCTCTGGCTGAGCATTGGCCCTATACCTGTAGTTGTTTCTGGTAAACTCCCCAGTAGAGGTGGCTGGGAATTTTTTCAGGGGGTTTATTGCATACCACACACCAGAAGATGGTCTAGTGGAAAGCATAGACATTGAAATCTTTCTTGAGTAAATCCTGATTTCTGATCAGGGCGGTGGAAATGGAAGTCTCAGGCTGCCTGGCTCCCATTACTGCCCACATGGGAGTATCTCAGCAAATGGATCTTTTACAAATAGGTGGATGAGGCACAGAATAGACTAAATCCCCAAAAACACACAATAGGTCCAGCCTGGAGTAGGGAATAGACCCCAGAAACTTGAGTCCATGCCCAGTGCCCAATCCATGACTCCATCCCTCCACCAGCAGCCAATCTGATTCAACATATGC